GGCCAGAGAAAGACAAATATGCCCAGTGGGAAGTGCAAACAGGAAGGCCCTCTGGGGCCTGTGGGCTATTTCAGTTGGGTTAATTGCCCAGCTTGGTGGCAAACTGCAACAGCCGAGTTTGTGTTAAACTGCTCGGAAGAAAATGGCCTGAATAAAACATGTTTGTGGCACTGCTTTCTTTTAGGGCTAGGAGCTCAGCCCTTTTGGGTCTCTCCTAGGCACTTTAATTGTTCCATACAAACTGCTTCTTCTTCCTAACCTAATCCCACAGACTGTCTGTCATGAAGCAATGATGTGCTGACAGCACAGGAAAATATTGTTTAGAGATAAATTAAGGGCTGAATGTATTTGGGGAATCTTTCCTTAAGCCTTTAACTTCCTACTTGCCTTAGTAATTGACTCTTCTACAGAATAGACAAAGACAGTATGCTGAAAAATATTCAGAATGAAGTGCATTGCATGCATTGGTTATATTAGTGAGGAAAGTAACTTTGGAAAAATTAGGTAACTTTTGTCGAGCCTAAACGTCCATCTGACAAGTACACTTTCACAGACAAATATATTTTCACATACTTTTGGTCCTTGTTTCCTTGAGACCAGTGTTGTTTTAAAGAATAATACTGACTTCTCATACTTGAATAATTCTGAAATACTGGTTTTCATTCACATAAGAAATATATTAATATGGCATGCATATAGGTGGCTACTAACCATATTAGGTTAGGTTTTACAGATCACTTTGTAAATGTGATTCATATATATTTCTCTCCATGTAGAAACAATGAATGTATCTTGTTGAGTTATGCTAATATTGAGGAGAACAGAGAAAGAAGGCTTGCCCACAGGGTTTAAAAATCGAAAATCCAAGTCATCCTGTCCATCTGGGTGCAGAGATATAATTTTATCGTAGGTTTCCATCTTTATTTTCACTTGATTTAGTTATTAAAGTTCTAGTGGTAATTCTAATATTTGTCACCAGATGGCACTGCAATGACATTGTCTTGTAACCACTCTTCATGCTCTAGTAGTAGCATAATGAGGTCATCCTCAGGTAATTTCAAAGTATGCATCACTTCTTCAGACTGCATTAAGCACTTCTTTATCCACACCGTTATGTTTATATCATCAGGCTTCCTGGCACAGCTATGACAGCTAGTGTTTTTAATTTTCTTAGCCGATTTAGCTTAGTGAGAGAATTTTAGTAGTGGACACCAAAACCTACCCTAAGCTTAATTTGTCCAAATATTGCCATGAGTAATACTGCAGGTAAACGCTATCTTTAATGGCAAGAGATGAAGAGCAGCAGCAGCTCCCACCTCTGTCAGGTCATGCACGGAGGTGTGCCTCAGTTCCCTGGTCTTGCACTTCTGAGTAGGATGGCAAGCTTAGACCATCAACCGCTGCCTATTATTACACTTCCTACTTTTTCAGTGAAGAATTTCATGCTTTCATTTGCTTCTCTCCTCCTCCCAAGTGGAGCATCCCCCTCCATGGCCTAATTTACCAACCAGTTCTAGCACTCCCTGATATGTGATAACTAGATCATTCAGATCTAGTGATCCTTGTCATGATCTACCACTGTAGCTTGAGTTAAAAGTACTGATCCTAACTGTGACTCATTGCAGATTCTAGGAAGTAAAAAGAAATAAACTTGGGAATCCAGCTTACTGTTGAGCAGTGAACCACAGTTGCCTCTGTTGAGAAGCCTTAGCACTAATACAGCTGTCACCATTGGAGTGCTGTTAACCAAGCAATCACTTTGAAGTTGTTCTCAACAAGTAGTTTGAGATTTTTATTTGTACATCAAGATGAGTAGCATTTAAAAGGCTGCAGCATAAGAAGCTCTCATGACTTTATTTTAGAGGTCTGATGACTCCCTGATGTTCCGCAGGATCCTAATACTTGGTAGGGAAGTTAATGCTGCGATACAGAAAATTAAAAGTTAGTACAGTTGCTTCTCACTGTGTCTCATATGGCATACGGCTGGATGGTGTGTGTTTTGGAAATACACCCAAATCTCTTGATAGTGTTAATGCTTTAGCATACACCAAACAGAACCTTTCTCAGTAGCAAACAACATGAAAATTACTAGTGATTTTCACAACTCTGCTCCTGTTTTCTGCCACGAAAAAGTGTTCTTGTCCTTAGGGGAACAATGACTGTACTACAGACAGTCGTGAATATGCAGACTATTGTATTTATGCTAATAAATTTAAATACACAAGGTCATAGTCCAAGGCTATGCATGAGTCAGAAAAGGGAGTCTGGTAGTACATGTAAAGGCAGTATATTACTAATACAATAAGTTGTGACCTTTTTAAGGTCTTAAAATAAATTCCAGGCTAAACCAAACTTTGTTAGTACAAAATTAGTGTTGTCTGTTGTGGCCTTTTGAATACCAAGCTGAATAAATTCAGGCTACAAAAAAAACCCCTTCACGAATTAGGGAAAACATATTACTATGCGATCATAACTATCATTTCACCACTCTTGTGATATTACTTTCATGTAGTTCGACTGCATTCGAAGTAGTAAATATAATACCAAACTTAACAAGAGTGGCTGGAACAGTCTAGCAGAAATCCTCCTGTGATAAGAGTTGCAGTTAGTAAATCATAAAAATAACAGAAGGAAAGCATTGGAACAAGAACGTCAAGGGACCCATTATATCTCCTTTCAAAACATTCTTTTGTTAAGTGGTGTCATTAAGACACAAAGACTGAGCAGTTAGGTAGGAGATGAACTGTCTGGGGTTGTTCTGATGAATGAATAAAATGTGAAATGATATACTGTAAATGATGGTGAGAAAGTGGTTGAACATAGCAGATATGAGGTTCTTTTTGTACATCACCCCAAAATTTTTGACTATAGGGCACATGCAAATAGCTCCTGCTCAACAAAGTTTAAGAACAGTGCAAATATATACTGTGACAAATGAAGATTAGCTATGGATGCATGAACATAGTAAATATTTTTTTTTCACAGATATATTAATAATTTTCTTGTTTCTGGAAGTTAGAGTTTTATTGATTTTTTTTACTGGACTGCCATTTACCATTGAGACGTTGCTACAGCTAAGGAAAGTTAAGAATAGTACGGACTTTGTGAACACTCTCTGCTCATCTTACTGACTTTTTTACAGTACACAGGAAATCACGGTTGTATATTTAAATAGTTGTAGCTTTTATTACTAACCTGATTTGGAAAACTGTATCTGAAAACCATGACAATTTTATTACACAGCACTGGCAATAACTTAACAAGCAGATTACTAGGCATCTCCCTTTCCCTATCTACTGAGCTTTCACTCTGTACAATGTACAGTCACATAATTTCTAACTAATAATTTAATTCCCTTTACATTTACCAGTTTTCAAAAGCTGTTGGTTTGCTGTAAGTTGGTTCCTTTTCTGTCTTAGCACTTGTTATTGAATCCTAAATATGCTACAAATCATAGGTCTTTGGACAGTCAAGGCGATTAAGCTTCAGGGATCCCATACTTCTACTCTTAATACCTCCCTCACGTTCCTATACTGCCTGACTTCCTGCCTTTGCTATGAGTAGAAAATACCCTTCCTCTACCATCTGTGTTTTCTGATTTTCAGAGGTTTCAGTCTGGGTTTAGTTCGATGCCCTACACCCACCAGTCTGCTTTAGAAACAGGTGGGCTGATAAAGTAATTCATGCTGCCTGGGAACTCATGTTTTCTCCAAATCCTGGTACAAGCTCAGAGATACGAGGAAAAGAACTGAGATCCTTCTTGTGCCTCAAATGGAAAAACAAGACAGAGAAGCTTAAAATATTCCAAATGGACAAGGAAATCCCTGAACAAGGGATTAATGCCTATTTGTTGATTTAGCTTTTTCTGGCATATACTTGACATTGATTTTTCAAAAGAACAGTACATGCCATGCACTACCTGATGTATCTTTTAACCCTGAGATGGTGTAGACTTTTTCAGTGTTAGAGTTGTATTAATAAAACAAGTAATAGTTATTCTCTCCTGAAGCCTTGTTCTATTGTCCAGGAGCTCTCCTGCATAATGCAGACTACATGGGCACCCGAAGCACTCAGTTTACTACGGTTATTAAGAGCCAAGAACCTATTATCAGGATTTCAGCGAGGCCCCCGGCAGACTGATGAGCTCTTTGTCTGAGAAACAATGCGCCAGTTGAATTACTGGTTGAAGCACGTAGATCAAACCAAGCAACTGGGCATCTAGCAGGCAAGAAGAAAACCGTACTCTTGTGCTGTGGACGAGACACGCAGTTCTAGTTCCAAGGGGTGCCCAAGGAAAGAAACGTTTGACTTCAGGCCTCTTAGAAGAAAGTCATTACATTTATAGTGAAAGCTGCTGCCCTGTTAAGAAGTTGTTCTGGGAGCAGAAGAAACAAAGCCTCCTTCCCCCTCAGATTGGTCTCCCGTATCTAACTCAGTGAACGCTTTCCCTGCGCTGTCTGCGGGTCCTCCCTCTCCCCTCCACTGCACAGTCCCCGGGGTTTTCTTCCCAGGCTCTTCCCCTGCAGGCGCCTCAGCATCTCCCGTGTTATGCGTGCTTTCCTCCCCACCCGCCTGCCTGTCCCTCAGGGGAGACCCCACCAAGGGGTTCCTCCGCCTGCGGACAGACTGCTGGCAGGCCCCGAACGCTCTGAGGCCACCACTCTAATCCAATACGGTTGCGTCTGCGGCTGCTCCCCGCACGGGCGGGCCAGGCCCCGAGGGAGCCGAGCTAGGAGGGAAGCTTCTGAGGGGGCTATCTTGTCAGGCAGTGCAACCCGCTGACACGCAGCTGTCTCTGCAGACACAAGGACGAATCTCTCGTGGTCAGAGGCGAGCTCGCCTGTACGCCGGAGCTTAAAAGAAAGAACCGGCCTGAGGGAGGCAGCGCGCCATTATCAGGCCCCAGGCCCCCACGGCCGCGCACAACAGCGCATGCGCAGACTCCGCGCCCTGGAACGAGCAGGAGCCGCGGCGGTGGGCGGGGCTTTCCTCAGGGACGTTACAACTCGTCGAGGTTGGCGGCGGCGCCATTTTGAATTGGCGGAGGGTCGGAGGTGGTGGTTGCTGAACCGGGCTCCGCGTCCTCCAAGAAAAGCACCGAGAAAGGGACGAGGTCTGAATATGGCAGCGAATAGGAACTTGAAGCAAGTGCGGATCGAGAATAGCTCCCCAGCGGCGCCGCTGGGCATGGTGGGGGGGGGCGGCGGCAACCTGAAGGGATTGCGGGGCCTAGAAACGGAGAGTGAGGCAGCGGCGGCCATGGCGCTAGTGCCGAGCAAAGAAGGTGGCGATGAAGAGCAGGAGGTTGGGTTCACCATCGATATCAAAAGCTTTCTCAAACCTGGCGAGAAGAGCTACACGCAGCGCTGCCGGCTGTTCGTGGGGAATCTGCCTACTGATATCACCGAGGAAGATTTCAAGCGCCTCTTCGAGCGCTACGGGGAGCCTAGCGAGGTTTTCATCAATCGGGACCGTGGTTTTGGCTTCATTCGTCTGGTGAGGATTCGCGCGAGCCTCCGTAGCTGCCCTGTAACCCAGGGGCTGCCTTTTCAAGCGGGAGATTTCTGTCCCCTGCTCCCCCCACCTGCCTTTCCTTGTCGGACGGATGTAAAAAAAGCCAGTATCTGTTCCTCATTCTCTTTCTTTTTGCTGCTAGCACTGTCTCCTCCTATTCCTTATCTTTCTCAGCCCTCCCCTATTTGCTTCCATATATCCAGGCTAGAAGCCTGCGTTGTGAGGAGCCTTCCCAGCCCCTCGCGTTTAGCTTCCCACCTCACTACGTGATGCTCCGCTGGTTTTAGGGTTACCATTTACGTGCTAGTAGCATGGGTACTATGGCAGCCTGTTATTCTTCAGTGAATGGAAGATGTGGTTGCGCGGTCTGCTTTATTCATGTAATACTAGTATAAAAATTTTTCTCATTTAATTGGGAGATTTTTTTTTTGTACTTTAGGATTACAAAAAAAATCATTATTTATGCAGAAGCAAATTTCAGCCTGTACAGTTCATGATGAGTATAGGTTTCGTCTATGAAAACACAGTTAATCTTAGACTGGACGGGATTCTTTAGAAATACCACTGCTCACACGTGATTAAAAACAACATGTAATCTCAGAATTGCTAAGAAATGTGCACTTGGATTGTTTAAATTACTTGTGTCCAGATATGACTAGGTTTTTAGGGGTAATACAATATTCGATCAAACATGGTCAAGTTGGGCATGCAAAAAGGAATAATCTAAAAAGCTTTTGGTGCTGTATTTAAATGTCAATTTAATGTACAGGTTTAATTTTCATGATGGCCATGTCTGGAATGCACTGATTTATATCGTTCTGGGAATAGCTTTAGAGTGCTTTGGGTATATCTAGTTATGATTTTTCCATATATTTTACTGATTAGGATTTTTTTCTTTTTGATTGTCATCTTAAAGATAAGTGCTTGTGGCATTCTGCCATACATCTTTTACCCTGAGAATTCCCCAGCCTGAAATAGCAATTTTCCGGAGGAAGTGCGATACATTTACATGTCATTACTCAGTTTTGTATGTAATACAGATTAGATACATCTTTTATCTGAACTTCCTTTTTACGTTATGTTTCGGGAATATGCTGTTTCTTAACCATTTACCTCGTCAGTTGAACTATGGAGAAAATGGCTATGATCTAAAGAATAATTTCTTTAAATGTAAGGGATTGCAGGTATCAAACTTGGTGAAAATCTTTGAAATAAAAAAAGGCAGGTTTTGATGCAGACTGTCTCATGGATGTGGGTGCAGAAAAGCTGTAAATGTGAGAAGAATGAATACATGAGCAGAGAAGGTAGTTTCATCATTTGTTGATGAAATTCGAATTGGATATTGAGAGTTCATCCAACAGTGGTAATGAGGAAGTGTGGTATTCTCACTTAAAAACAAAAAAACCACCAAAACCCCAAACAGTTTAGATTCTGTAGTGTAATATTGGAAAATACTGTTTCCTACTATATGGAGCTAGGGATGGAGAATATAAACATTTGAGTAAGTAAATATAAAAAAGCATCAAGTTTTCAACTTTCTACTAAAAGCCGTTACAGAACAGCACAAGCGTATCCACCATGAGAATTTGTTAAATCCTCTAACGTGCAACAAAAATTTGCGCCTATTTTGTTTTATAGAATAAATCATAGGAGATGACAAATGCATATTTTTTTTTCAATCGGTGGGCAGACACTTTGGGGCGGGTGGGGGAGGGAATTGAATGGCACTGATGCTGTTGTGCTCAAGTTATGGAAAAAAACTCTTACTTGGGGGGGCAAGGAACATAAAAGTGGTGTCTGTTGTCTTTGAAAATAAAATATATAAAATATTTTATATCTTGAAAAAGGAATCAAGGACACTGGCTGAAATAGCAAAGGCAGAACTTGATGGTACTATTTTGAAGAGCAGACCACTTCGAATTCGATTTGCTACACATGGAGCTGCCCTAACGGTCAAGAATCTTTCACCGGTGGTTTCTAATGAGCTGCTGGAACAAGCATTCTCTCAATTCGGGCCAGTGGAAAGAGCCGTTGTTGTAGTAGATGATCGGGGCAGAGCTACAGGAAAAGGTTTCGTAGAGTTTGCAGCAAAACCTCCAGCACGGAAAGCTCTAGAAAGATGCAGTGATGGGGCATTCTTGCTAACAACGTAAGTTTATGGGCTTCTGTTTGAATTTGTGTGAATATATATTTCTGATGTGAGAAAACCGGCATTTGTGGGTATTCCCTAGTTCTTTATTTTTAGATTATGAAACCCATGAGGTGAGAAATTAAGGTGTTTTACATCAATATCCCAAATACCTGTAATTTTTTTTTGTGAGGAAAACCATCTTTTTCTGCTTACTGTTTATAAGACTTGTAATTACCCTATGAGAGTCTGATAGTGTTTGTTTTTCTTGTCTATATGCAATACTACTTTTCCTTCTCTATATAGTAGGGCTTTTGCTAATGAGCCTTTATTTTCATTGATTGCATTCTTCCTGATCACAGTAACAGTGTGACAAAATTAATATTCTTGTTTCTTTAGCAGTAGTGTGTGTACTACATTGCTGATACTTCAGTAAACTCGGAAAAGTGTTCTTGTGTTTATTTCTATCTCAAAAGTTTTATTTGTGGCTTGACAGTCCAGAAGTACTTTTATTTTTGAAAATGACGGCTTAGATTCTGCAGAAGTTTATGGCAACGATCTCTGGAAAACTTTCTATTTCAAGGGCTGGCAAGCAAGCTTGCAAATTACAGCACTTTCTCTTGCATCTGTGATTTCTGTACTTGCTGAAGAGAGTTAACTGGTGTGCTTTAACACATTCACTAGTGACATTTTCAAATGCTTTCTTAAAGACTCTGTGAAATGATCGATATTCGGGATTTAAAAAAAAAATAAATTTTTTCTAATTCTCATTTGGAAAAACAGGGCTGTGATTCCACAGCATGGAAGCTTGCTGCCATCAAATTGGGGAACTTTTAGGTTTTTTTCTCTTACTACCCTGGCTGTTGTTGATCTTTTATCTGCTTGAGAACATATGATACTCCATAAGCCACTTGTGCTTGCTGAAACAATAGAAGAGTATTCAGCTGTCTTTGTTGAGTTCATTTTGGCTGTTTAAGCATGTGAAGGTGCCTGCTAACATGGGTGCTACGAACATCAGGTCCAACAGAGGATAAGGTAGGAGAAAATGTTGCCACGAGGAGTTTGCAGGTGGGAAAAGGGTCGGGAACTCCGTTTTATTGTGATAATTTCATAAATCTTGTGTACCACTGAACTGATCTGGTAGCTACGCAGTGAATTCAATCTGAATACGCCTTTACTGTTATCTGTAGGTGCCAGCAATTTGTTCTTATCCCCTGGGTTTTCTTGGTGTTAGTATTTGAATGGAAGCACAGAGAGCCAGACAAGGGAACTCATGTAGTTCAGTTTCACATGAATGCTGCTCTTGGTGTGAGAGATGTGGCAGAGAAAAAGAAGCTAGGGTATAAGGAGAGTGTTCCTGTTTCATCAGCTGGATAGATTAGTTGTTTTGAAATGATCATCTAACTGTGGCCTGAGTGAATAAAAAGCACTTAATCTTTTTCTTAGGTGGCTGACATGTTCATCAATGCACAGTTGCAAAGAGAATTAGCATGAATCTGTTGCCGTGATGCTTTGATGTTTTGCTTGAGAGTCTAAAATTTTACTTAGCTGGAAACTCTGCCCGATCAGAAGAAAATCTTTAAATTCATGGGCTAAATATATCAAAACTAGGCATTTGAAATGTCAATTTAGAGATCTAAAATAGTTTTAAATCATAACTTGTTAACACCACAGTTCAGTTGCATTTAAGTAACAGAACTGCCAGCAATTATCATGCAAATAACATCAGGAGAAGCAGTTGCTGAGTTGTGCTCTGTGTTTCCAGATTTTATCTTTTTAATCTGCACTCGATGCCCAAAGGTTTCTTCTTTGGCTGTTGTTAAAATGTTGTGGGGTTGTTTTTTTTTTTTGTGAAAAGATCTGCAACGAGAAATAAAGGTGTGAAACAATAAATAAGTGCTGGAGTTTAAAAAATAGTGTCTCTAGCTCTTCTTTCTGCTTTAAGATGTTATTATAGGCTGTGCTTGCAAGACTGATTCAGAGATCTTTTTATGCAATTCAAGATGCTTATACTTCTGACCTTGGCAGTATTGGCTAATACTTGCCTCTGATTACTACAGATAATGAGAATTCAAGGATGCTATTTTCAAAGATAAATTAGGATTCTGATTTGTGAGATTTTGGTTGTTCAAAGAATGGGTTTTAAATAACTTAAGCAGAAATGGTTTTTTAATTATCACTGGAACATTAATGCCAAATTACCAGCTGTTTTCAATTGTAGAGTAACTTAATATTCTGTGAAAATATGAGTAGGTTGTGTTGCTGGTTTGGGATTGTTTGGTGCTTTCCCAATTAATCATGGCCCCTGTGTTGCCTCACTGATGAAAACAAAAAGGTAGTTCCTTGCTAAATATTTTCTAACTGTTTGTAGATAGTTTTGATTTTTTTTTTAATCTTTAAATACTTCTTAGCAAATAGAACTGCATCAAGTATATTATGGTTTCTAGGCAAAATAGCTGGTTTTGGGTATCAAAACAATTATTTTCAAAGATAATTCTTAAAATCAGAATCCATTGGAATTCTAGAATTTAAGAATTTACAAGAGACAGGAATTATATAGATAATGTATGTTAGCTTTCTGGAGTGTTTCATCAACATACTAAAATAACTTTAACTGCTTAATTTGTGATTCAACTATTAAATAAACTGTCTTCCAGAACACCTCGACCTGTTGTTGTAGAACCAATGGAGCAATTTGATGATGAAGATGGGCTCCCAGAGAAGCTAATGCAAAAAACACAACAGTATCACAAGTAAGTTGTGTTTAGCTTTATTTTATAAAACTTAATTTATATACTTAGCATATATTTACCAAGCTAACTAATTTTTATTTCTGAGTTTGTGTAACAGGAAGTAGTGTTTCTGTGTTGTGCTGTTTTTTTGTCAAAGGATTAAATAGGACCTTGCCAAGATATCCTAATCATAGTAAAATTCAGGCTTAAATTTGGGTTTAATGGTCTGTGCACTTACTAAAGTAGATCGATTCCTGGCCTACACTAAAATCCATTGGAGCTTGTTGCCCACTAAAGTATAGCTTTTATGGATTAGGGGTGTGGTCTAATTTGGCAGAGATTTTTATACCCACAGATCTTTTGTTCTCTGAATAGCTGTTTGTAAAGTCAGCGGGGTATAAATCTTTACAGCTTCCACGGTTCAGATAAAACTTTGAGCATGACATGAGAAAATGAATCTTCATTATGAGGTGAAAGAGAAGTCACAATCTGATAATATTTAATATTGAAATTTGATTGCCATTTAGAAATTATGTTGCTGGAAGCTAAAATGCTTATTCAGGTAAGGCTGTGGAATACCACCTTTTAAAAATGTGTCACTATTATGTACAATATTAATATTAGAATGTGAAATAAATGTTTGTACCTTTTAATGTTTAGAGACTGGCTAATATTTTGAGCTGTCTAGTAAGCTTTGATACTTATTAAATAACTTTTTATAAAATGCTTCTTTAGAAAGCTGAACACAGTTAATCTATTGTTGCAGCTTAGTATTATACTGTGAAAATAAGAATTTTTAAAAGTATAGAAATTGAACAGTTGGACGGTTTCTCTTGTCACATTACTTGTCTTAGCAGCTGAATTAAGCTTTGACTGGTTTAGAATTTAGTCATGACAGGTTTATTTAAAGTCAGATCTACACTTGAAGTGATTGTTTATAAATTCTTTGGCTGTTACAGCTGTTGATCTAAATGTGTCCTTCTGTACATTTTAACTGCTAAATTTTCATTAGGGAAAGAGAGCAGCCTCCACGTTTTGCTCAGCCTGGAACATTTGAGTTTGAGTATGCTTCACGGTGGAAGGCTCTTGATGAGATGGAAAAGCAACAGCGTGAACAGGTTGACAGGAACATTAGAGAAGCCAAAGAGAAACTAGAGGCAGAAATGGAAGCAGCTAGACATGAGCATCAGCTAATGCTGATGAGGCAAGGTAAAGTCAGATAATCTACTAGTCTTAAATTTGTTTTGTCACACATTTTCTTTGTGTCATATATTGAGCTGTATGTTAAACTTGGAGATTTTGCTAGACACTAAGTTCATTAAACTGAGAAAAAGGAATTAATATTTCTCCTTACACGTATTCCTTGATGATTTGCCAAGATGGATTAAGAAATTGAGAAAGGATTGTCTAGGTCTGTTCACTTAAATTTGTCTAGTCTTAAGTAGTTTATGTAAAAAACTTGAATGGTCGCTTCACACTCATAAGTAAAATTATTTTCTATTTTTGATGTTGCTTATGGGACTAAATAGGAGTTAAGTACTGTTTGTGGGCCATGTGCAGGAAAAAACAAAAAAAAATGGTAGCTGCTACTTCTGGCTGTTCTGTTCACCTCTGGTGTAATTTAAAATGCTTCAATACCTAATGTTAATTTTTTTTTCCTTTGAAACCCTTCTGAGAAGTCTGATGTGCACAGAGTATTATAGATAGATATGCAATAGCTCACAGTTGCTATGAATTTTAGTCATTCTTGAAACTTTAAGATCACAAATCCCCTTGTTTGTAATTGTTTGGACATCTTCTGCTAGTGTTGGGGCAAAAGTCTTCTAGAAACTGCTTTCAGGCCTTATCTTTAAGAATGGAGATAAGTGGAGCTTGTTTTTCTTGGACAGAGAAGACAATGGCAGGGCGAGTATCTGATACTTTCTGTTTGTTAGCATTCTTTGCAAAACATGTTTTCCACAGAATGCTGTGGACATGCAATCACTGCTTTCCAGTTCAGCAAAACTGACCTGTCGGGAAGGATCTCAAGGTTTGTTGCATAAATGAAACACTGAAGTTTTGAGGTTTTTAAATTTTAATTTAATTTAAGGGAGATCATGGCTACCTGAAAAAATTCTTATTCCTTTGAATGTTGAATCGTAAGACAGTACAGTATGATAACTAGCTTGATAGACTGAATAAGAGTGCCTTGTAATTTTAAAGGAGTTTGAATGTCTTGAGATTCTAAATAGTGGATACATTTCAAAACTTAAACCCAGGTAACTCATACAAGCTGTTTGCTGCAATTATTTGGCTTTATTTTATGCTTGCTCTTAAGAAAAGGCATTTTTGTTGGTAGTACGACTTCCCTACACAAGACTGGTTTATCTTTTTTTTTGCTGACTTGAATGATGTGTTGAAAATACCTGTATGAGCTGGATTAGAGTATTAACAAGGTTGGTGGAATTAAAGCACCTAAATGCTTGGATATATTGAATGTAAACACATATAGTCTTTTAAAATTTGTTTTAAAACATTTTCATAATTGGAAAAGACTAAAAGGAGCATATTTCAATTTTTATACAGTATTTTAAAATGTACTGCAACTGAAATGTCAGATAGTTAGTTATTGCAGCACCTGAAATTACAACTGTTTCTTGGTTTATTTTCCAAACAAAAAATACTCAAGCATTTGGTTTGCATGTAAACATAAGTGTATCTTACAGGTGAGGAATGTGAATGTGATATAACAACAGTGTAATACAGAGTACAGCCCCACCCCACCCCCCTTTTCAATTAGATGTGTGTTTTAAATTTTGTGTATATGTGTGACTGATATTGGTAAAGATGGTTCAGTCATGAAAAATACAAGTGGGATAAATGTACTGCTAATTGTTAATATTTGACAGTGCTAATGATCCAGTTTTAAACTTGTATCTCTTTTTTTTTTTTAAGAGTTTATACACCTGTTGCCTCTACTTGATGGCAAGGTTAGGGATTAGTTTTTCTTGAGTTATCCTGCCACTGATGTTTTAAACTGAGACAAGGTGACAGTGGCCTGTTTATTAATATAGGAAAGGTCTTGATGGTAAAAGGTGGGAGAAGAGCGTAGGTATGTTTTGTGAATATAATGGTTTCTTTTAAGGGCACTGTGAAGGAAGAAATAATCCTTTTTTTTGAATATCTGTTAAGCTCTGCTTCTGTATGCAGAAGCAAGAGTATTAGTCCTTCCGTTAAAGAGCTATTAGAACATGAATGCTTTTGGTGATAATATTCCAGTGAGGAAAGATGCTTTTTGTTAGTGTGGGAAGAAGGTTTTTCCTTCCCCATTTGGTTAACAGAGCACTTGTCTTTGATGTCAAATAGTTTGGAATTTTGTTCAGATTATTAGATTTCTGTCTATTCACCTGCTGATGTTTGCAAAGCTCTAGGGACTAGTAAAAATTCCTTCTGTTCTAATCTTGCCTCCAACTTCAGTGTGTATGAAAATAAGGTGTTTTTTCCTTTTGTATTTATCTTCAGACATTAGCTGCTTCTAAGTCTTGGACTGAACAATGTCTCTGAGTGTAAGTTCAGATCATGCCAAGAATATTAATTACATTAATGAGATTGCATCATAGGGCTTTTAAGAAAGGTGCAATGAAACTTTTGAGGCACCAGAACCTAGAGTTAATATTTTTGTATACCTGATGCACAAACTACAGGTTTAAAGGTATATTGAAGTAGTTTTCCTGAAATAGGAAATGAAATATATTAATTTTCAGGGGCTACAAAGAAAATGGGAAGGGTGAGCTTACTAGAGTCTATATACTCCCAAGGGTGAAGGTTTTATAGAATTTGCTTTAGGAGAGCTAGCAGGACTTGAACGTAGAATGTGTTGGCTTAAGTACTTGGGTTTTTGTGGTGTGGTATTAATACTTAAGGTAGACTTCATTCTTTTGATACGTGTAACTTTTGTCATGTTTTGACAGATTGAGTCAGAAGTAATTTCTAAAGCAGAACATGTATTTTCATGTGTAAGTAAATTGCCATGATGTTTCTGATCTGCATATTGGTGGTATGCTTCAGATTTTTGTAAATATTCTCTCATAATGGTGGTTAAATAGTTTATGAAAATACTGAAAAATGTGACTGAATTTAACCAGAACCTTCATTGTCTGTTACGTGGAAGCTGAGCATTTCTTTTCCATTTTTAGAACCTGTAAAATCAGCAGCTACAACAACTTAAAAATCTTTTTCGACTTGATACTCCTGCTTGTAGGATTAACTTCTGAGGTGAGGGTACACTTTCACCTTCTGCCCTATGCTCTGCAGAAGGTTGAGGATAAAATGAAGACCTTGCCCTTTTTTAAGCACATGAAAGCGCAGAAGCTAATAACAATGATTTCTGTATTTTCTTAACAGCTGCTTTAGTGCAGGATTTTTCTATTCAGAGAAAGGGCCTGTGTCTAGCATATGTCAATCCAGAATTACCATCATTGCAGAGTATGAATGGCTCTGTGCGCAGCCCCAATCTTTAGATCTGTATTTTCATTTGGCTAGTAAGCCTTTGTGCCAAGATTTTGCTATTGTCAAATGGTACTGGATCATATACTGATATGCTGAACTTTAAAATACTAACAGTTTCAGGAGAGTCAATAGTCAGAATTATGCTATGGAAAAAAATTACGAGGATGCTGGAAGAAGTAGGATTCTACACCTTAAGAATAAATGGGAGAAAATGATAAATTGGTAGCAATTAGTGGTAGAGAGAAAATAAGAAGTCCTGTGCTAGTGTCTTAACACAAGAAAAAGGGAATGCTACTTAAATTTGAAAGAATGAAGAACTGAAAAGGAAGCATTTTTTCCCCCAGTGGAGAATATTGAGCATAGTATGGGTCAGTTACTGATGTCAGTAATACTCCCAAACAAACTAAAGGTTAATTTTAAAAGAAAGTGCACTTGTACTCTGAAATAATCTAAAGAAAAAAGTGTACTTGTGGCTCTCCCTGTGTATCAGGATAGCAGTGGCCAAGCCTTCTGTGTCAAGCACAGTTGTAAAGAAGTAGTCCTCAGACTCTGTGATTTGAGTGCATCTTCAGTGTAATCATACTCTATTGAAGTGTGAAACGTGTTAATTTTGCAGAAGAGATTGGAAAATCAAGCCTGCAAAATGTGCTTGAGAAAGGACTTCTGATGTCAGTAAGGATGCTCTGAGAGTAAAAATCTGATAATCTTCTTTATTAGAAAACAAACACTTAGTATTTTGCTGAAATGTACTGGTCATTGTAGTTGGTTTTGGATATTAAAGTAAAAGGTTAAGGTGTAATAATATATGCTGATACAAGTTTGAGGAGAGTGATTTGCATAGCTAAAGAGGCTTTAATTAGTATAGTTAAGAGGTGCATAGAGAAATGTGTGGAGTAGTTGAACTAAAGCATAAAAGACCTCATGGTGTCTATAAATAATGTCATGTGAAGATAGGAAAGGCAAACAACTCTTTCTAACAAAAGATAGAATTAATATTCATTGAAGAAAGCATAATTTGCCAGGCAGAAATCAGTAATGTGAGTGGTCAGAAACTAGTAAAGCAAAAGTAATTACTATTACTTGTGTGTTGCTTTTTAAGAGCATTTAAAGTGCTTTTTAAGGGGATAGCTGTTCCTTTCTGGTAGTGTTAAAAGACAAGACATTTGTAAGTTGCTGGAAGCAGAGTTCTGGTAAGTGGTAAACTTCTATGGAGGCTTGGATTACATCACGTGAAGTTCACAACACTTTTTTCTGATGTGTGCCATGCAGTGGTCTGCAATAGATAGTGAAAAGTATAAGCCCATATATATTGTACTAGTTTTCTTGCTGGTGTGACTTCAGTGGTACAGCATTGCGAGGAAACTGATGTCTTGCTCTAGATGTAAAACCAGGATGTGATTTAAGAGATTGAGAGGTTTTTTCCTCCTTTTTGTTTGAGTGCTTCAGATTTGTTTCCATAACCTGCTTTGGAGGCTTTGCTAGTCCTGTACCTTTACATGTTTGTGAGCTGTCGATCCAGTGTGTTTTTTCATATACTAGACTTAGCTTTATGGAAAGCAACTAATTACTTGTGTTGAGAAATTTCTTTAAAAATTGAATGTTAGAGCTGTAATCTGACAGTAATAGTAATTTTGTTTGTTGTCACATTGTTGATTGGAAGCTTTATCTTTATTATGTTTTTAATCCTGTTAGATCTCATGCGACGTCAAGAAGAATTGAGGCGTTTGGAAGAACTTCGAAATCAAGAACTTCAAAAACGCAAGCAGATACAATTGAGGTATTTTGTCTTCTCCTGTGCAAAGATGTGGCATGCAGCTGCTATAGGCCTGTATGAATACAGATACTCTAGCTTTTAGAGCCTGTTTTTGATATCAAATAAAAAATTGCTTGCTGCTAAAAAGTTGCTTTTCAAAAGCATAATGTGTGATGTTTCTGTTAATATTCTTGAACACAAAAGTGATCACTTACGCTAATATATAGGAAGAGCTTCAAGTATTTATTGGATTTTTTCATTTATTTCAGCTCTACTATATCCACTGTAAATTTTTTAGCTTTCTAAATAGCATAGAAATGTCTTAACAGATTTTTTTTTTCCTATTATTTATTTTAACTTTGTGACTTTAGCATAGCTGTAATAGATACAGATGTGCTTCTAAGATTTATGGACTGGTGATCCACATGTGGAATAGCAGCATTGCAAATTTATAGTGTGACAAGATTTTGGGGGGGATTTTCACATGATGCTATGCTATGTTGCGAACAGTTTTTCCTTTATCATCTAATTCATACAAATACTTACTTTACTGCCTCTGCTAAATTTAAGAAAATAGACGTGGTATCATTGTGTTGATTGAGTTTATACTTTTTATGGTAAATATCACAAGAAACGTAGATTAGAGCACAAACACCTCTCAGAGTTAACAATGTATTTTTTGGCAGTATTGAAATGTTTTAATCTGTAGTGACTTTTTAAAAACTGGCGTATTTTAACCAATTTACCAGTATGTAGCAGGAGGAGCCAGGTATAGAATGTCCTGGTATTGTAATTACCTGTATTCCAGTTTAAAAAAAAACAAAAACAAAAACAAAACAAAACACCAAAAAACCCCAACAAACCTTCAGTAATATTCAGACCTGTCAGGTGGAGTAGATCAGTGCCTTACTCTCTCTCTAAAAAAAAAAAATAAAAAATTACCAGTTTTGTTCATATGCTTGATCTTATCTCCTGAGACCTATTACAAGCCTGAACAGGTCGAGTCTAAGTTGACATAGTTTTTGAAAAATATTCTAGACATGAAGAAGAACATCGGCGACGTGAAGAAGAGATGCTACGCCAGAGGGAACAGGAGGAATTGCGACGACAGCAGGAGGGAGGATTCAAGCCAAATTTCATGGACAACGTAAGTAATAGTCTATGACAAAAGTCCAAATCGCAAAAGAATTTTTTTTATTGTAATATTTTTATATACTAGCTATTGTGCTGCCGCCTTCTTGTTTACTGTTTTTCCTTCAGTGTTCCATTGTTCTCATGAGTTGTACAAATTTAGTAGTGTAGTTATTTTCTTGTACAGTGGCATCATTATTTTTCCTACAAGGTGATGATGTAACACTTAAGTGAAGGTGTTCAGATAATAATTTGCTTTTTTAATTTAGGAAATTATTTTTTTTCTAATAAAATAACAGATTTTTTCTAAGTGGGAGGTCATGGGAATAAATTATGTTTTCCATGAGGAGGTACTCTACTCTAGTTTGACTGAAGGTTTAAATTTTAAACCAGTTCAGGCTGCTAAGCTTGTTTGAATTGCTTGTTTTGGTTTATGCTTAACTTCATATGGAGTCTAAAATCACTTCCTCCTTTGTCCCTACCGTTTAAACTAGATGAGGAATCTTTACTGAAGGAGACCAAAAGATTATAAAGGTGGAAAAAAAAATTGTCCTCTGCTATAATTTCTACATTATTTATATTAGTAATTTAGGTGTGTTCTGCCTCTGAAGACTCATCCTGCAGGACTAGCAAAATGGTATCAGTGGAGTCAGCTTCTAAATTTTCATGGTGATCTATCATGGTCAAGGGTATGATTTTTTTTTTTTTTCTACCAAACAAAGCAGTTAAACACAACCTGTATTGTGAATGCTTTAGGTTTATGTGAGAATGATACCTTTTACTGTTATAGCTATTCTTAGTGAGGAAGCAATAAATAAGCGATGCACCCGGTGCTCTTTTATAACAACTGTAGTCTTCAGGAGGGAATTTTGGTCCCCTTCACAGGTACAACTTGATAACATAAATCAAGCTGGTTTCTCAGCTACTTTCTGATTTTCCATTTTGTTGAAGAAATAGCTATATTGCATTCTATACCACAACATTTTTCTGCAGGGTTGAGAAGAATGTATTTTATATGTTATGAGACATCCTAAGAGAAGTTAGAAAATAAGAGATTGCCTGTTTGCAAAAGGACATCTCTTTTCCTGTCCTCTGCCCCTTTGTGATTTTAGTAAAGATGAGGAGGAATCAAAGTTGTTCCTTTGATGTTACTAACATCAGTTGATTTTCCTGATTGTATTTGGAGAAACTTGCAGCAGAAAACAATCATTTATTTCTGTATGTGTTCACACTGTAAAAGAAAACTGCTTTCAGCATGTCTTTACTTTGGGGTGATGAAGATCAAGAATTTAAAACTCAGGATGTCCTTTATCGTGTTCCCACATATTAAACATAGTTTGTGAAGTAGCATATAACAATTGTCTGATGTAATTTAGAAATAGCATTTAGTGATTGTGGTAATGCCAAATACAAAATTTCATTTCACCATATCTTCATGTAGTGTCGTCTTGGGGTGGTCTGACTTAGGACCCTATAAGCTATCTGTCAAAATCCTCCTGTGGCTGATCGGTCAGACCCATGCTACTTGCTGAAGGAAAGGGAAGCTGGGGAGCCAACCCTGACTTGAGGTGGAAGTAGCTCCCTCAGATTCCATTGCTGGTAGGAGATTGTGGCCTATATCCCGCAGCTTGGGGTGCTGGGGAAAACTAGATAATGTTGACCACAGCAACCTCTACTGGTTTTCTTCTTGAAGCTGTCTTGAGGTAGTGTTACTTAGCCTCTGTGCTTGAACAGCTTGCCGCAGTTTGGCCATCCTCATGCTTATCTACATCTTTAAATTCTGAATGCTCTGTGAATAGAAACTGTTCAAGTTACATGGCAAAAATGTAGCATAAGAAGGGAAGAGGAATGGTTCAAATGGAAAGCACTTCAATCACTGTGCATAATTTTTTGTAACTTCTATAAGATAAAATTTGAGGGGAAAAGGTAGATGTGGAAGAATGCTTTTCAAGAGTGTAGCTTTCCCACTGAATTTGCATTACTGGAATCATGTGTTCATCTGGAACTAATTAATACACTGCAAGAATATATAGATGTAGCTGTGCAGTGACAACCTTACCAAAAGGGTTATAAGTTATATAAAGGAATACATAGTCAAAGTGGTTTTTTTAATATCATGTGAAGTTGAAGTGGCACATACATTTATTTTTAAAAAGTGTTTTCTCTAGTCTTCAGACTAGTATTCTGGTCGTGTTGACTTATGTTTTACTTCTAATGTCCTTTGAACTTTAAAAGAGGCAGAATTGAAACAAAACTGGAAGTTATGTATTTACTTTCTTTAACAACTGTTTCTAGTAAGGGCAGCTATGTAATTCTAAGCATGGCCTAGTATTTTATAGGCATTTGTTATAACATGTCTTCAGATAATTGTACTTAAGTTTTACACTGTGAAAGGGAGTTGAAAAAAAGCCTTTGCATTTTGCAGCAGGGAAGAATTATCTGAAGATTGCAAAATGATATGTCAGATCTTTTTTCAACTTATTAGAATTTCCTATACGACTCTTAAGTTTTTTTTACTTATTCTTACTAATACTTGTTTACCGTGAACAGGCTCCATCTGGTAATTACTTACGGTCTTGGATTACCGCTGTATATACACCGAAAAAAGTTATTACCTCTTTTAAGAGTTTAAAAGTTGTCTCTTGGTGAAAATTGTGTTTCATGATACTGGTGGATAGTTTTTACCAAAATCAGGTCTTGGTAAACTTTTGGCATAATCCTCATACCATATTAAAGTCTTCTGCCAACCATGTATTTAGAAGGAAAGTAACAATTGTTTCTAATCCTTTTTTTTTTGTTTCTTAAAAGCTTTGAAAAGTAAGCTTCCTTCACTTATATCCTATCCCTTTTTACTGTTCAGTATAAAAGGAGGACATAAATGGTAAGTGCGATGATGACCAGAATTGGGACCTCTCATATAAGGCTGCAGTATTAGGCTTTCCTCTATTTAAAGTTTCTTTCTGTATCTTTTCCTGAACTTGTTAAACTTTGATTTTTCAGTATAACTGATTTTGAAAAATATCTTGTAATCAAGTTTAATGCAGTTACCAGTTACTTCATTTAGTCACAGATGATAAAATGTGTGGGGATTTATCTTCCTGAAGCATTCTTGTTTTATGGTGATGTTGTACATGAAAAATTTGATTGCATTGATTGTTAATCTAATGGGTATCTTAGTAACGTCTAAACAGTTTCTTGGTCTAGTTGTATGATCTCTAGTAGATAAGTTATTGATAAACACTTTTGTATTGGTTAGGATTTTTTCCTTGCTTTGTGAAAGTCAGTTGAAATCTGCTGTTACAGCTCATTATTTATGCATTCTAATTTCACAATAGCTTAATCAGGAAACTTGTTTTCCTGTAATATTGTGCTAATTTTTATTTTGCATTCATATTTCTTGCTGAAAGAGGAGCTTGCTCATGGTGATTGGAAGCAATATTTTATTTTTCAGCAGCACAACTCTTAAAAAAAAAATGTTACTTGTAAATGCTAGTAATACATTAATTATTCAAACCGCAGTGGTTACTGTGCAATTGTGAATGGCTTCCATAGATTTACATTGTTAAATCTCAGAACCTTTTTACCAAATAATTCCAGTTCCAGGAACTACTTTTATTCATGTCACCAACTTATAAGAGTGAAGAGAGTGATTTGGTTTAGTGTATTCAGTGTTTTCAAGTGTCTACAAACCAGACCAAAATATGTAGGAGTTGTAGTCTTAGTTCTGTGGTGCACAGATTTAATTCTGTAGTAACACTGCAAAATAGTGTTGGTTGGGTATTGTACTTAATGAAACAGTAGGCCTACAGCTTACTGCTCTTCTTGCTGATGGTTTAAAGAGGGAGCTGAGATTTTTGGATGTCCTTGTCCTCTTCCCTTCAATAAAACTACCATTTTCAAATATAACTTGCTATGTAAGGAATTTGAGAGTTCATCAATTTCAACTCATGAATGCTTGCTGTTCTTTCATGTATGTAAGACTGTATATTAAGCACTTCTTATCTCCTAGTCTGTTCAAGCATTATTTCTAGATGTTTTGCTCTCCTTTAATTTTTCTTATACAGAAGCACTGCTGCTCAAGTGTGTTGTGTAAGTATTAGCATTAAGTGGCAGCCGCTAAAGCAGTGGAGATTGCCTCAACAGCAGAGATTGGCATGGACTTGGATCAAAAACTGTAAGACAGATGAGAGCAAGGGAATAAAAAAGCACATCCCAAAACAACAACAAAGTTCATAGCTTCAGGGCTGCCAGAAACTTGATTGGAAAACTCCCCACATATTTAGTCTTCATGCTAAGAGTTCTGTCCTTTGGAGTGGTTTATAAATGAAGCTTCCCATTTCTTATCCCTCACTTCTATATTTACTTTAAAGTTAAGCAAACACTTTTGAAAAAAGTCTATCAGATTTTCTTGGACTTCTGTAATTCAGGAATAGTTTTTTGCACTTCTTGGCTCTTAAGTAAATGAATTTTGTTTTTTTGTCTTCTGATTCCATTATACTCAAAAGCCCCAGACATATAAGAAATTTGAATTTTCACTGAATGCAGAATTGTTTCCTACTTTATTCAAAATTAAACTAAGCTAAGGCAGATTTCCAGTAATAAATAAATTAATTAAATTCCACACATCTCTTAAAATTTTATTTGTTTTCTTCTAATAAATTTTGGTTATTTTATGTTGACAGCCTAGTGTACTCAATGAAGCTGATGATGAAGTTTTGTGAGGTCGTATGAATGAAGTCTCTGTTTCTTAACAAACTGCTATAAAGCTAAGCAGCTTTATAAAAGCTCTTTTGTAGAGCTTGGTTGGGAGAGATGAATTACCTCCTTATTGCAATCCAGCATACATATTCGTGGAAGAAGTAGTTCATGTTTGACACCTTAAAAGTCTTTTAAGGTAAAACTAGCTTGAAGAAACACAGATCATTAAATGTAGAACTAAAAAAACCCAACCTGACAAAACATTCCTGCTTTCTTGGCAGTGTTTTTACTTCAGTGATGAAGTTTATTCCTATGCAT